CCCGCAGCGAAATATGCTCGAAGAAAAAAAATGGGGCTGGACAAACCTCGTCGCCAACTTCACACCTACAGCTAGAACCTAAGACCGTACGCAGATCACCGCAAAACACGTTGCACACAGCCCGTACGAGGTCCACCGCCGCCACACCAACGCGCACAGAGTAAGCGGTAGCCATGGCAAATGCCCACCGGCGTGGGCGGGTTTTCTCGAGCTGCCATGCTCTATACCGTGACGCGGACAGGAAGAAGGGGTTCGCATACAGTAACCGCTTTGGGTTGGGTGACTCACCCATTTGGTCTAGCTCATACACCGTTGCGTCAACTCCTAGTCCTGCGAAGAGGTTCTTCGTTTTGGCGCAGAAGCTGTTGCCGTCGTCGTTGTCGTCGTCGTCGTTGCCCACACACACACACCAAGACGCGCACGTACGGTGGTATCAACGGGCGAACAAACAAACGGCAATGAGAAAGAGAGAGAGGGGGGGGGGGGGGNCGTAAACCCAACCCCGATGGCAAAACACCGGGGGGGGGGGGGGGGGGGGGGGGGGGACAATGACGGACGGAGCACAATACAAGAACGCCTGCCAGGTTACGAGGCAAGCTCCTGTGACAAATGAAGGCGACATCGGTGGCTGGATCCATGGCATAAAAATCCTAACGAAGAGAACCTTCCATTTTCCATTTTCACTATTGCTGTACGTAGTACTGCCAGTCTCGTCAGGTTGGTCCTTCTACTCGATGCAAACAAATATTCGGCCGGTGCCCCCAGCAAAACATGATCCCGCAGCGATTGTCGGGTAAGGCCTATCGGTCTCCACACGTCACTAAGCAGTGCAACACTTGTTGAGCAAGACCTTATTCATGTCGGGGGAGGGTCCGAGGACGAGAAATCGGACACTTTGACCCCCGGATCAGGAGGCGACCCACAGCGGTCGTGCGTTGCATGCTACGCCTCGCCAGCTACAGAACCATGCCATTCTTAGCAGGAAACGCTGCACTGGAGCGCACGGTAATTCATTTACGCAACTACCAAGCACCACATGTACGCTTGTTGCGTCGAGGGGGTTGGTGTGACGCGCTTCCTATAAGCTGCGGCTGCTGTCGCCACCGCGACCACGCGCATGGGGCGGTTCGTATGAGTGTTACACTTGAGCAAAAAAATAACCGCAGCTGGCACTCACGGGCAGTACGACTTGGAGAAGACAAGGACGTTGTTGCTGTCGATCTCCTTCTCCACGAAGTCCACCGAGTTCATCGACCTGGTGAGGAGGGAAGGAGGGCAGTCAGGCGACGCGTGTGGAGCGGCAAAGCGAAGGTGGTCCAAGACCCCCCAACCAACACCCAAAGACGGGCTCTTGGTTTACGTTTCGTGTTTCGTGGTGGTGGCGATTGTTCTTGGCGCAAGCGTCATGAATGAGCCCACGGTACGGGTGAGTTCGAGGTCGAGAGGCCCTCTAGTGGTGGTGAATTCGGTTATAGTCGCTGCCTCTACTGGCGGTTCTGGTTTTACTGCAAAAATGTTGGAAGAGTGTCACGGCAGTAGTCGTCGGTTGCGTTGTCCCCAGCGCATCCAATCTGGACACCAAACCCTAAAATGTTAGAGTACCTGGAGGGCGGATCAGCCTAGGGTCAATCGAAAGGACACCGGACAGAGGTTCGGGGATACGCTCCCTTGACAACGTCTTCGCCGAACCCTGAGCATTCTCAGGATTGAACATCGTTCAACACGTGGTAGCGATGACCAAGGTTCGATCTCGCGACCTCGACTACCATTGTTTCGACCATGGGGGGGGTGACACAGAGAGCGCGCAGAATACTATTTTGTTTACGTGGGGAAACATCGCACGTGAACGTGGTGGCTTCGAGAGCTGCTGCAGACCTTTTCGCGGCGACAAGAGAAGGACTCCTTACTTGACACGTGAACCTGCTACACGTATGTTCAGTACCGCTTGGAAGGCACCTGAACATGTGTCGAGGGGTGAAATGCACATGTAGGCTTCACCGTAATACCAGATTATCTATACAAAAACTCGAGGAGGCCGTGTGATGTACACATGGACGCCAGCTACTGGGTAAGTTGGGTTTGGGAACTCACGTGGTGAATTTTGCCTGTCGCTGGCTTGGTAAGGCGGTAGAGCTCGCTGCTCGGACGATTGTGTTGCCTGCGAAGGAAGAAACCGCCACCCTTCTCATCATGGGGTTTGCATAGAACCTGGCACAGAAGTAGTGGGGGGGTGAGGTCGAGCGAGAGAGAGAAAGAGGGCAACGGGTGTGAGAGTGCGGCAGACGGACATATTTGACACGACATATGCGTAGTTCACGAGAGAGAGACAGAGAGAGACAAAGGGAGAACAAAGAGACCGAGAGAGAATCATGTTACCGACCTTCGATTATTGCTGTGAGTGTGTTCGTGAACTCGAGGAAAGGAAGGTCACTGCACCCCAAAAAAGTTTGCGACTCTCTCAAGAGAGCACAAGCGATCACAATCGTCAACAGCGCAAGGGGGGGGTATATCACTGCTTGTAGTCTTCTATGTTGGTGGAGCGAGGGTCGTTTCGTAGACCGATGATGCTGCGTTTGATCTGCGATGCTAATGCAATGTAGGTGAAGCTGAAGCTCAATGACTGGAAGCGACAGGTGGTGCCGCATGGTGCCTATCGTGGTCATGTTTTGCTGCCAGTATTTATGCATTGAAGAATAGTGAACTCCTTGCACTAGAGGCGTACAGGTTCATTTTACGCCCTGCGTGAGCCTTCACATCGTAGCATGTTCACCAGCATCATCACTTGCACGTGCATGATGAGAGCTGAGAGCACTCTTCACGGGTGAACTTCGTTTTGCTTGCCACACTGCACAGCGGCATCTGCGATCATCTGCATATTGTACACCGCACTTACCCAACAGACGACCCAAAGAGGAAGAACAAGTTCAGGACCGGCCTCATGGTGGTGTGCTGTTGAGACGTGAGGAAAAGAGAAGACGGAGACGGTGGCCAGCTGTCAAGAGATGTCTCTTGGACTTGCGTGGGACTGCTTTGTTGCATGCGTCAGAATATGCGGAACCCCCCCTACCAGCACGATGTTCTAATGTGTGGGCCCCCGGGGCCTCCTCCAGCGCGAAGTGACACACCCACGTTGTTGCTGGGCTAGCAAGCAGGGGACCATGGCGTTGCGCACGATAGGAGCTGCCACGCGGGCCCTCGTATCACGGCGACCATGTGCCATGCGAGCACCGGCCACCGTTAGCGCGGCGAGGAATGTACACCGCACTGTTTCGGCTCGTGACGAAGTGCACCAACTGGGACAGGTGTGCAACAACGGAGAGCTCGCTCTTGTCCCCGCCGTCTCTGTCTGCTATGTGTTGCTGTGTGTGTCTACCTCCGTACTTGAAGACCCCCAGCTGTACTTGTTTCCTCTGGGGCATCTATTCACCAGGTCCTTTGGCGGGCAGTGCATGTATGCAGACGTGTATGTTCTTGTTGGCGGGGACAGCGTGCTGTGTGTCATCCAATTGCGATCCCTTCTGGTCGGTTACCCACTCAGGTGCAGCACAATCAGAGAGCTCCGTAGAGGGTGTGCGCGAGGGTGCAACACAGCAGGTGGTTGGTTGCCGAAATCGGCGGCAAAGTGCATAGGGGAGAGTATTTTCGGAATCATTTTGCTGCATTGTTTCCTATCCTTGTTGTTACTGCAGCAGCGTCTGCACGAGGGACGAATGGAAGCTCGATTCCCGCCGGCGTGTATGTGTTCCCCGACGTACATGCACATCTGCTGTGTGCTTTCATGTCCTGTGCTGGAAGCACACGTAGTGTACAGCATTACCTTACCCCCGCGGCGCTTCGTTGTGCCGTGGCAACGAAGCACACAGAGGTGGTGTCATGCTTTGAGACCCTGCTGGCGGCACTGCTGCGACGCGCAGTGCGATGTCTAGCGAGAAGAATCCCATTGTGAGCTTACTGGTATACATGTGGATCCTGGCGGCGCTCAGTGTTATTTCGCATGCACAGCAGTCGTCGAGGAAAACCGTGGTATGCCTAAAGTCGTGCACAGCAGTATTGGTCGCACCACATGGGATACCAGAAAATTGTACATCAGGACCATGGCGAGCATGGTGGGAGATGGGATGATCATGTAGATTTAGTCGTCGGTGTATCAGCGTCAACCAGGTCCAGACAGAACACATCCCGTTGTCCGTGCGTCTTCCACCGACCCGACCTAGGACAACATGAACACCAACCATTAAGTTTGTAGACTATTCGGAGGGCGAGGAATCTAGAGGGTTACCGGTTGTTCCCATCCTCGTCTAGTGAAATCGCCAGCATCAAAAGCAGTGCTGACTTTTGGCCATCCAGGGCCTTCGAACCACAACTTTCCTAACGACCGAGCGGGGCGACCCCGTCCCTCCCCCCTGTCCCCCCCTACGACATCCCACGACACAACAGCACAAGGACACGCCGGACAACAACGAGACGACGTTCTTCGACTTCACGGACGAGAACTACGCCAGAGTGGAGAAGATCATGGCCAAGTACCCGGCCAACTACCGACAGGCATCGATCATCCCGCTGCTCGACCTGGCGCAGAGGCAGGCAAGAGGAAGAGACACAGAACTGAAGTGGATACGCCTATTTCTATACCTAGTTATGTTCTAGTATCGAGCAGACTTACAACGCGGAAAACCTGGGTACTGCTGTAACAGGTAGCGGCTGGGGGCGGGGGGGGCGGGGGGGTTAGGACGGCCGTCTTCTTCATAGAGTCGTGACTGCGATATTTAAGGATAAAATAGGTTATGTATCGTTGTTGGGTGTTGGCGGCAAGTTGTAATTCATATCGGAAACGCACGACCCCCTCACAACATTTATTCGACCCTGCACGCTTTTACTGCTATGGGTGTTTTGCCACGCATCCTACCGCACGCCACCGTTGCTCCGCAGCTCGTTGTAACGGTGTTGTTCCGGGTCTCTATCCTGCCATCTGTTTGTTGTTGCTCTTCGTCCTGCAGCACGGGGGCTGGCTGCCACTGGCCGCCATGGAGAAGGTCGCCAAGATCGTGGGGCAGCACGAGATGAAGGTGTACGAGGTGGCCACCTTCTACACCATGTTCAACCGCGAGAAGCGGGGCAAGCACTTCATCCAGCTCTGCGGCACGACGCCGTGCATGGTGTGCGGCTCGGAGGACATCAAGAAGACCATCATGGACGAGCTCGGCATCAAGAACGGAGGTGAGGAAAGGGAGAGGACGGAGCGAAGCTACACAGCAGTCTCATTCCCCTCGACACTATCCACATTTGCTTTTTTTTTGCTCTTTCCCTTGCATTTGTTGCCAACATAACGAAAATATCAAATCACCCCCCCTACTCTGATTTCGTTGGCGTGAGTGGTGAGAACTAGTGTCCCGGGTGTTCTCTCATTCGTTTGTGCTCTATTTGGTTAACCTGTGGTTTGTGCAAGGAATGTAAGCAACATGCCACACAATTCGCATGGCATCAACGATTGTGATTTCCACATAAGAATTTACCGAAAGTGCAGTTGACCAACACGGTACAATTGATTGTTTTTGTTGTTGTCTCAGGAACAACGGCGGACGGCATGTTCACGCTGTTGGAGGTGGAGTGTCTTGGAGCTTGCGCGAACGCGCCCATGGTGCAGGTGCGTCAAGTGTCGTTGATGCCGCTGCGCGGGCACGGGAGAGGGGGACTCATTTTCCAATGCTTTCCACGCTTCTGGTTTTGGCCGGGTGTGTCTTTTTTTGTGGACATACGCGCGAGAGGACGTGTGTGTTGCGTCCTGTTGTTTTGGACGTGTTTTGTTCATTGGCCCCTCCTTCGGGTGTGGTTCTCTGTTATGGTTTCACACATGAGGGCGTGTCTGTGCTGTCTCAAGAATCGGGAGCGCTCACCAGCTGCAGATGAAAACACGCGTGTTGCAACCCACACCACCGGGACTTGTCGGCACGGAGCGGGGCTTGATGAGTACACACGCCGGGCGCAACTTCTGCCCGAATCAAAGCCTACGCGCAGCCTCGTACATTGTGCTCTGGGTTGGTTTGTCATGTAGAAGTTGAGCACTGTCCACATCAACCAAACTGAAACGTCTGCCTCGTCCCCCCTCCCCCCCCCCGGGCCTCCCGTGTCGTAACCCCTGCTATGTGCTGTTTCCGGCCGGCCTTCCGCGATTTCTCCAACCATCCCCGTGGAATAGATTAACGACGACTACTTCGAGTGCCTCACACCTGAGACCATGAAGGAGCTTCTGGAGAAGTGCAAGAACGGCGAGACGCCGGAGATGGGCCGGTGGGGCAGCTTGCCGCTCAACGGACAAGTCAGCTGCGAGGGTAAGAAGCGAGGGCCGCTGTTTCTTTCGCCGCAGTCGCCCCTCTTTTTGTTTCCCGCAGATGCACCCATGCTCGTGCACGTCGGTATCGTGCAGGGCAAGAAATGATTTGGTTTGTTGTCGCTAGCGCACGCGGCTTAATACGTACGCAAGAAGAAAATGGTTGTCGTGGGAGACGTTTGAAGTTCCCCCCCCCGAAGTGATGGGAGCACTTGCTCGGCTGCTGTTCTCGAGGCGTTTGTCGTTTTCTCACGGGTCGCGGTTAGCGCGGGTTGTCACATCGTTGTTGCCAGTTTTTCCTGTCGAGCTCAACTCACACGCTTGGCCTGCACCGTACAACTCTCTAGGGGTCGTGTGTGCGTTTTTTTTTTAGCATGGACCGCGCTACAGTAGCGGCTGACCAATCGAAAGGCGTCAGTCTCAGGCCGGCTGAAAACACAAACGCGTGCATGGTGTGTGTGTGTGTGTGCGCGTGCGCTGCTCCCTGCCTCTCCACTTGCTTTGCCGTTGAAATTCCAGGCCCCCTCGGAAAGACATCGCTGGAGGGAACGCCGACAGGACCGGGATTCATGATGCGGAAGGACTTGGAGCAGAAGGTCGACCCTAGGTCGGTCAAGGACCACATGTGCTACTGATGATACCGTGGGGCTGATTTAGCGTGATCTGGTTGTGATGGTTGCCGCTGCTGTGCGGCGGCGGCGTGCGAGAGATAGGGGCGGCGACACGCGCTCGTTGTGCGTGATCTTAAACGCGCTTTGATTGGCGGGGTGCTGGTGGCAATGGTGTATGGGCGGCGAACAAGTAAAGGGGGGTGGGGGTGGGGGGTGGGGGGGCTGTAGCTGGGGTTAAGCATGCAAGGGCTTGCTTTTGTGCGGTGTAGGCGGCGAGGGCAGGAGAGGCGGCAATGAGGAGATTTTATGATCGGACGAATACTCTTGTGTGTTGCCGTAATGCATGCTCAATTCGTTGCTCGAACTCTCGTCTCGTGAGAGCGTTTGCCGCTGACAAACCTGACCAACGCCGTGAAAAACGTGTTGTCGTTTCATTTTAGCGAATTAGTTTTTCCTTGTTCTGTCGGCGAGAGGTTTGGCGTTTGTCGGTTCTGGTAGGCGTTGATGCGAAGACGCGGGCCGATGAAGGGTTGAGTGTTCTCTGGGCGGTTGTAGCGCTTGCTAGTCAATCACTCATATGCTTGGAAGAGGCTTCCTCCAATCCACCAGCAGCAGCGGCCGTAGACAGGGAAGGAAATGCACCATCAACATAGTGCCAACAGCAAGGACAAAACATCTGTAGTTTTTTTTGACGTTGCTTTCGCGAGAGATTGATCTGAGATGAAGCATTCGTGCTTGTTGTGCTTCCTTTCCATAAGGGCCGCTCTCGGCAGCTCAAGTACTTCAGCACCGGCGGCAACCCAGTTAGGGCGCTCGATGTAGGGTACTGAAAACAAAAGGCGAACCAAGTATACCCGTGATGCACAGCAGCGTCATGCGTCAACCAAAAGGTCCACTCCATCCCTCACAACACCGCGCAGGTCGTGAGCGTGCCGTAACGTAGTGTGCATACCACCACTTGGGGGCGACGTGGTTTCGACGTGCGAGGTTCGGTTCTAGCATCCATGAGCCCCCTCGTACTCGGCTGTTGACGCTGTTTCGCACTCCTGGTATGTCTATGTACTTGCTGGTAGGATATCACACGATGGGGAGAGCTCGCTGAGAGGAGCCAACCGTTGACCTTTGCTTCTCAGGTATGTTCTCTTGCGGTCTTGCCTGCGCTGTTGGTGTCATTGGACGGTGCACAATATGACAGGACTAACTGCTCTCCGGGTCCATGACAACGCACCGCAGTGGCGCTCATGCACACCGCCGCGTCAGCCAGTGCAAGCATCTCCGCTGGACCAGTGTCGGGACCGTTGTCTGTACCGATGTAACCCCATGCCAGTGGAATGCTGCTGTGCGCGCGTTGTGCTTTGCTCGAAACCGCGCTTGGTGAAATGCTGGTTCCTCAGAACAGGTCACTTCTGTAGTGCCTGCCATTCACCAGGCAGAGATCCTGTTTCATCTGTGAACATGAACACATTCACACCGCAAGGCGCGTGAAATGGGCGTCACCAGGGTACCGACTGCCTACGTCGTATCTATCTCTTCTGGCCAACCTTTTTCGCAAGCTTCCCTGTAGTTGATGTTGTCAAGACGGCAGTTTGAAGGCTTCGTTTTGTGGACACGCCTATCATATGTATGCTACAGCATAGTGTCCTCACGAGGCTGGTGGCATCCTGATACGGCCGACTGAGTGTCAAGAATACCAACTGCTGTCCAACTACCAAAGTCGCAAGATACATGCGAAGGCTACTTGTGCAATCAGAGCCTGCATGTCAGGTTTGCCATTGTTTCGATCGTGAGTCGTAGGCCAAGGCAGGCAGTTGACATCCATCTCTCGTTCCTCCCCGCCACTCTTTGGCCCGTCCTGAACGCGTTTGGATGTCAGAATGGGAGTACAAGCAATGGGGAAACATGCCACCTCCATGAATCGTCGATGTCGCTTTTTTTTCCTTGACGATCTGAAGTGATCGGAGCATTTACATCCCGCTCAAGAGCACGTTATACAATCGCCGCCAACATTGCTGTTACTCTGCACGTCCATGGTCCCTCCCTTCCCAACCAGGCCAGCCAGCAGAGAGAGAGAGCTACTTCTCTTGCAGCGGAAAGACGCGCGGAGCAACTCGTCTGGCACACCCGTCCCTGCGGCTGCTGCTGCTGCTGCTGTTCTAGGTTCTGGCGATAGGCCCCGTCTCGCCCCTTCGTGGGCGCACGACAAAATCCCAACAGGAATAGCAAAAAACATACGAGAAGAGTGCCAATACACACACGTTAGCAGTTGTAAAGCGCGGAGCTTGCGACCCCCGTCGGAGTTTCCACCCGTTCCAGCGATGGCGCTCATCTCCTCCCTTGGGACTGCTGTGGCAGCCTCCGCAGCAGCAGCAGCAGCAGCAGCAACAGCGGTGACAATAACTCCCCACACTCGTGACTGTAGGATCGTGAGCAGCCTAGGCGTACGGGCCAATCCGACACCGGTAACAGCAGCTGCAGCTGCGGCGGGTTCGACGACGGTATGCTGGGTACCGCCGCCCGGGCGGCTCCACTCCTCGGAAGAGCGGCGGCGACGGCGGCGGCGGTGGATCGGGGTTGGCTCTCGTCCAGACCTTTCACCCGCGGACCCGGTCTCCCGACCCGCTAGGCATCGCGATGCTACACGGCATGCGCGTACAGCGATAGGCGCCGCCGCTGATTGCGAGGGCGGTAGCAATGGCAGCTTCCATCGGCGTACTGGTGGCGGGGGATTGAGAAGGTTGGAGGCACACCGCAGCAACACTATCGCTGCAGAAACTAAGGCGAGCGGCGGCGGCGGTGGCGGCGGCGGCGGCAGGCTTGGTACTAGACTCAACAGGCCTAGAAGTGGCGGGCGTGGGAGGCACGGGGGCAAGGGCGGCGGCGGTGGCGGCGGCGGGAGGGCTTTCAACGCGCCCAACGGGGCAAGGAAAGAGAGAGCCGTCAAGTCCACTCCAGAAGGAGCGAGCTGGAGAGACTCGGATCTCGACGGCAAGAGCCGATCGTTCCTGTTCGTGAAGGAGATCAAGGCCATCCCCAAGTGGAACGGCGAGAGGGTCATGAACTTGCTGAAGGAGGCGCAGCGGCTCAGCGAGACTGCCGCCGCCGCCCCCGGCGACGGGGGGGGTGCCGCTGACGCGAGGAGAGGCCTGGAGATGACCTCGTTCATGTACAACGCGTGCATCAGCCACATGTCCTCGTGCGGCCGGTGGCAGCAAGCGCTCGAGATCCTGGAGTTGATGAGGACGGCGGATTTCCCCCCGGACGAATTTTGCGTGACTGCCGCGATAACGGCGTGCGGGAGGGCGGGGCAGTGGCAGAAGTCCCTCGATGTGAGTGCATACGTGCGTTTGTTTTTTTTTACTGCTGCTGCTGCTGCTGCTGCTGCTGCTGCTGCTACTGCTTTCCTTTTTTTCCTTTTTTCTTACAAAGTACACAACAAATTCATCTCTCTCTCCCACAGATGACAGTAGTCCGTGGTAGATTATTAGCAAATGGATTGATAGTGGTGAACGGTTCTTCTCGTGTGTACGTGCGGATTTCGTTTGTTATCGGCCGTGGAAGAGGCACAGGGAGCGCGACGGGCGACACATGGTACGTACGTGTGCATGCCACCACCATGCTCACCCGCCTAGTCCTTGTGCATCCCGCTGATTTGCCGGCTTACATTTCTGCGCGCATCTCACATGTGTGGCGTGCGCAGGTGGCGGCAGTGGTGGCTTACATTCGCTGTGATAACTGCTCGTTTTGGTTGTGTTCGAGCCCGCCGCGATGGGGGGGGAGGGTATAGAGAACCGTTGTCGCGTTTCTTGAGACTGTGCCCTTTCAATTGGTCGAGCCAGTCAACCCGAGCAATGCTGAATTTGTATCACACACATACAACAACACACGTTTTGTAATTCCCCTCATAAGACTGAGCAATTTTGAATCGTGAGCGGGTTTGCGCTATCGATGGATGCAACCTTGTTATTCGAAGCACTTCACGCGGCGCGCGCGGGTGTGTGTGGCCTGTTTTTTCATTTTGTTTTTGACACGTTTTTTTTCCCAGCTGCTGGACGGCTTGCGCGCGGACGGCGGGAGGACAACGCTGCGGCTGATGAACGCGGTCGTCGACGCTTGCCGCAAGGGCAGGCAGTGGGAGAAGGCCCTCGAGAAGGTGTCGGAGATGAAGAGGCTCGGGGTTGTTCCAGACGAATTCACGTACACCGCGGCCATCGCTGCTTGCCGACAGGGGCGCCAATGGGACAAGGTGTGGGTGTGTGGGTGTTAAACCTCGAGTCTGTTTTCAACGACTATTACTGAAGTAGGCTCAGGTTTTTTGTGCCGGACATCTCCTTGAATGTATTTCATTTTTATGTCGGCTTCCTTTGTTGTATTCGCAATCGTACCGGCAGGCCAATGAAAAATACATCAGTCTCAGTTCGGCGGAAAACAGGCGATGCGTCCAGAGGCCTGTGTGTGTGTGTGTGTGTGTGTGAGTGTGTGTCTCGCACGTGTATGCGTGTGTCTATGCACGCACTGTAAGTGTGCGTTTTGTCGATTGTGTTTCGTTTGGCTATTTTTCGTCGATGGCGCTAAGACTTGGCCGACCAAACGAGAAGGACGTCGTTCCTGTAGGGCGCGTGCCCGCCTCTACCATGCGTGCGTCTATGCACGTAAGCGTTTGTTTTGTTGTTTTGTGTGTATTTTGACTATGTCATCCACCGCGCTCAAGCTCGGACGACCAGACGCAAACGACGTAACCCCCCTATTGAGGGCGCGTGGCCGCTTCCGCCGTTGCCCCTGAGTTGGCTTCATGCTGCATGCTTTGCAAGCCGCTTTTCTTCTCTGAGGCTGTTGTCGACATTCACAAACCCTGTCCAAAAATAAAAAAAAAGTCCAATCGCCCAACGGTGCACTCGAGACACTCGCCAACCCTATCCAATAGTGTTAAATATCCAACAATTTATTCGCTTGGCTCAATGGTGCGCAAGTGTCAACATACCCTGTTGCTCCTGGCGCGCGCCCAACGTTGTTTGATTTGTGCCGTGCTGCTGTAGGCCCTGGAGCTGTTCCGCGAGATGCCCGAGGCGGGCGTGAAAGTCACCTCCATTCACTACAACGTGGCCATCGCTATCTGCGGGGAGGCGAAGCAGCCGGAGAGGGCGTTCGAGATGTTCCGAGAGATGCAGGGGGCTGGCGACGGCACCAGGTGGGCAATCTGCTTCTGCTGTGATCGTTGTTGCTGTTTCGTTGTTGTTGGCTTGGTGAGGTGGTGGTCGGCATGCTTTTCGTTGTTGTTGGCTTGCGGCGGCGGCGGCGGCGGTGGTGGCGGTGGTTGTCGGCGGTCTTGTCGTCGTCATGGATGCTGTAGTTGATGGTGGTCGTGGTGTTGAGGGTCTTGTTGCTTGCTGGCGCCACTTGCCGTTGTGGCGGTGATGCTGTCCTTGTGTTGGGAGAGAAACGAACGTTTTGACCTCTTCGTGACAGTCCTGTCTGCGAGCGGGGGACGAGCCACTGCTGTCACTGTGAAACCCCTTTCGAGCGTTGAAACAACGGTGGTAACTCAAGAAGAACACAGAGAAGCCACGCCACTTACCGCTTGATCGGCTGTGTTTCCGAGCATGTATGGCAGTGTGGTTCTTGCTTGCGTACGCCTATCTGGATACCGTGCGCTTCAAGCTCTGAGGTATAAGAATAGGTGAGAGCCGGCTGTCAGACCAGCAAGCTGAGTCGACAACGACGATAACTCAAGACCCGCACAACGGTGATGATTGAAATTAATCTTTCGCGTGAGCTACTGGACATTGTTGACGGCGAAACGGAATCGACCAGCAGGAACCTCTCCTTTTTCATGCATTTTTCAACGAAGGAACATGGTACATCAATTTATAACGGCCGCAACCGCGCTCCCTACGTGTTGTGTACCAACTTGTGATTTCGTCATCGGTCGTGCGCGTCCTATTTTAGGTATGAAATCGACAGAGTCAGCTACAACACCGCCATCATTGCCTGCGGGGAGGGCGGCAGCTGGGACCTCGCCTTCAAGCTCTTCCGAGAGATGACTCACCCTCCCCCCCCTCCCACGGCGGCGGAGGCGGGGGAAGACGCGGCGGCGGCGGCGGCGAGGAGGAGGGGGGGGGTGCGCGTAACAGCCGACATGATCGCGTACAACACCATCATCGACGTCTGCAAGAAGTGCGGGCCATGGGAGGAGGCGGTGAAGCTCTTGCGAGAGATGTCCACCCCCGGGAATGGGCGTGGCGGCGGCGGCGGCCGCGGCGGCGGAGGCGTTATCATCCCGAACGTGGTGACGTACACGTCGGCTATCGTGGCGTGCGGCAGGAGCGGGCACTGGGACGAGGCGCTCGAGGTGAGAATCGGACAAAAAAACGAAACTCTGCCACAGCTGTATTCGTACCCGTGCAACCCGTTGGTTTTTCTCGTTGAGGGTGTCCCCTATCCCTCCCCCCCTCAAAGCCTGAAAAGGTGTGAGATGTTCCTTGTCAGGAGTAGGGATGATGGGTGTTCCTCGCGTGGTGGCTGATGGTCATGAGACAAGCGCCAAATGAGCCCTCCCCCCGTCTGAATCGAAGACCGTGTTCATGTAGTGGCGGAATGTCGGTTGTACAAGGAGAGGGGACTGTACATGACTGAGCTGGGAAAAGTAGAAGAGAAGTACAGGGAGATATTTGAGGCACGGGATAGCCAGGATAAGACTTTAGCTGTACTGGGGCACAGGAAGTGGGTTGAAAAGGCGGGAAATGATATCGGTAGAATAGATAGACTAGTGAAAACATTTTTGAGCAACCTTTGGCGAAGTAGGAAGGAACGATAGGCCATCGGTGATCGGTCCTGTGGGAATAATGCTCCTTCCTCTCGAGGACGCGTGGTCAACGGTCTAACTACTAAGGCATGAAAAACATAAAGAGTACCCCCCCCCCCGTCTGAATCGATCGATGATCCTCCTAGCGGTCGTCTCTCGGTCCTCTACGCCCGAGTAAAAACACGAAAGAACGGTCCGGGATGCCTGCCATGACATGATCAAGGGGGATCCATGCTTCGTAAAGCTCACACGAAATTCACGCTCTCTGAGCCGCGTTTCCTCGAGAGGTCGCTCCCCAATTTATTTGTTTACTTTTTTGGCTTCCTTCGTTTCCCATTGAAACAGCTTTTTAGGGAGATGAAGGCGGTCGGCATTCAGCCGGACGCCATCAGCTACAACACGGCCATCTCCGTGTCGGGAGAGACCGGGCGGTGGCGGGACGGGCTGGCCCTGCTGGAGGAGATGCCCGGCGAGGGCATCAAGCCCGACCACACGACCTACAGCACCGCGATCCTACTCTGCGGCCGGTGCGGGCAGCTCGAGGCGGGCCTGGGTAAGCAGCAAGGGAGGTGGCGCTGTTGTTTGTTGCCGCACGTTATTTTTCTGTGGTGGTTTTTCTTTCCGCTTCACGTGCCACATTTGTATGTTGGTTGTTCTTGCCGCAGGCTGGGTAAGCAAGGAGGCCGTTGTTGTTGCCACACGCTTTTTTTCCTTGATCGTTTCTTTCCGCGTGGTGTGCTTGTGTTATCGAGCTTGGCGCGCTATCTTATCTTTTATGACGGGGTTGGGTAAGCAGGGAGGCGTTGTTGCTGCCGTACGTTTTTTTCCTCGATCGTTTCGTTCCGCTGTGGTGTGCTTGTGTGTCGTGCTTGGCGGGGCTCTGGGTATGCAAGGGTGTTGTTGCCGCACACTGTTGTACTTGGCCGCTTCTTCCTCCACGTTGCCGTGCTTGTAAGTCGTACATGCGCACATCATACACAACACACACAGCAGTCGTACTGCTTGAGATGCGAAACAGCCCATTACCCGCCGCCCCCTCTTGACGCATTCGCACGTCTTGCGAACGATGCTCGACGAACTTCTTTGCTTGGTGCTGCTCCTGTCTTTTTTTTGGCCTCCGGTCGTCCTTTTCCCACGCGACCCCAAGATGTCCTCCGTACTACCATGCCGTCCCACGGCGCGACCCCGAACGTGCTCAACTACAGCGCGGCGAGCGTCATTTGCGCGGTGAGCAAGGAATGGGGAAAGGTCCGCGGCGTGGTGGAGGAGATGGCCGTGGAGAGGGGGCTGTCGCCCAACGCGGCCTGCCTGACGGACCTGGTGGTGGTGGGCGTCAAGACCGGGCAGTGGGAGGACCTCCTTGAGGTGACTGACTCTTCCACAGATGCGTAAGAGTCGGGAAATAGATCATTGGAATGGATTCATATTTTGTGGTGTATGATGAGTCTTTTCCCGTTGTTTCTCATGCTGAAAAAAATATGTCGCCAATGTACCGACGGCGAAGAACGACGAGGAACGTATCATATCACCGCCTTTTTGTCAAATACTTGAGTCAAATACTTGACGTGGGAAACGTGTGATGCTGAACAGCCAGTTAGTGGTGCACGGAGCACCTGCCGTTTGTGTCGGGAAACTGCGCCACAATGGTCTTGTTGATATAGAGGGCCGAAGGGTTGTATGTTGTGGGGTGTGTATGTTGTGGGGTGTGTATGTTGTGGGGTGTGTATGTTGTGGGGTGGCCTGGTGCGATCGGCGTTGTTCTGAGGCGGAGGTTGTGGTGAACAGGGGCCTCCCCGAGGAAACACGCTTAGTCCCGTGTGGATGGAACTCTTTTGTCGCGAGCCGAGTCAAGACCGACTCGTAACCAACAAGGGTGACTTCTGAATCACATGTGTGGATTCCTATCACCTACATATTCTGGTGTACATATAATAGCGCCCTGTTACTCGCTGTTCGACGCGTGGCGACTTGAGCGTGGGACCTAACATCGTACGTGTTTTTCGTTGCGTGGCTCATGGTTGGGTTGACCCTTCGTCGCAGAAGTTCGTCCTCCTTGCTGCTGCACTCTGAATGGCCCACAAGAGGAGGATAATGAGAAAAAAGTCAGGTTGATACGCTAAACATGAAGGCAGTACCACAGCAACAACCGAAGCCACCGATGGCGTAAGACAAGCCACACAAAAGCAAGTGCACTCACTCACTCATTCGTGATAATTCTTGTGCGTCCTCCAGACGCTGGAGAAGCTCGAGGAGGGCGGCATCCTGCCCAAGGACCCCGAGATCGGCCAGGCGGCGGTCGCCGCCGCGAGGGCGTGCGGGAAGGATCAAGCGGAGCAACTTAGGCTGGCGGAGATCCTCACCCGCACCAGACACCAGACCCGACAGCAGTGATGGCGGTACCCACAGGCTCGTGACCCTGCTTCGTCGAAATGAATCCTATCGTTTTGTGGTCTTTGCGCGGCAGACTTTGGAGAGGAGTGGACTCAGAAGAGAAACGCGTCCTCACAGCAGCAGCAGCAGCGGTGTTGTTTTTGCTCAATGGGAGAGGCAAGACCGGATAGATGAGGGGCGTTCGGGAGGGAGTGCGCCGGCTGTGTGGTGCCCGACTAATCGTTGTCTTCCTCCCCTTAATAATTGTCCTTGAGGTGTTGATGAGTTCGAGATAGATAGTTGGAAGGACGGGAGCGTGTGCAGGCGGGCAGAATTGTTGGGCCCCCAGGCCTTTCCAAAGGTTTTACCCACGAACGCCTCTCTATCCATACGCTGCTGTGCAGATGTGTGGAAAGGATAACCCCCCGTTGTAGCCTTCGGGTGCGCCTCCTTGGACAGATTTAGAGACACGGTACATATGCGGGTGTGTGTGTAACATGTTTTTCCTGAAAGGGAAAATTTCAAAGCTGACGAGAGTTGTCAACGGGCATGTCTCCAAACATGCCAAGGAAGTGATCGAGGACCCGGGCGTAGATCGGGCTGCTCTCTCATACATCGGCAAACCCAGAAAATCGACAATGTTCCATCTTGTTGGGCATCATACTTGCACGACGTCGTGTATAGTGCGGCGAGAGAGAAGGGCGGGATATCTCCGCAGTTGACAAGGCCAAGCACATGGAGCCTGCCTGGAGCATGCTGTGCATACTGCTGTTAAGCACAAGGACACTTTTCGTGTCTTCTTTTTGTGTGTGGGGAACTACGCGCTCTATAAAAGCTTGTGCGTGTTGTCACCACCAAACCTTCTGAAACGTAAGATAGGGCATCTTGTACAAAACGCCTTCCTGGGCTCTATCGCCGTCTCGTGGCCACAAGGGCTCAGTCGTCCAGGGCAGGTGACTGGCCGCTGCCACAAGCATTTCACTGCTGACGAATAGTGGGCAAATCCTCTCGGCTTGCGTGAGTAAAACCCACGTCACCAACGCTCCCGGCACAAAACCCAGCCCCGTCACGACCAAGTCTCAGGCGGTGCTCCACAACGTTTTCCAGCAACAACTGCTGCCGAGAAAAAACACGCGCAATGCTTCAGGCGCATTCGTTTAGGTGAATCAGCCACACGTGCTTCAGGTGCATATTTTTAGGTGGATCAGACAAGAGACGTCGCGGGATTCAATCACACGCTTCAGGCACAATTATTTTAGTGAATCAGACGAAAGACGTCGTGGGATTCAATCACACACGCTTCAGGCACATATGTGGGAGGTGAATCAGGCGAACGACGTCGTGGGATTGAACCAAGCCTAGCCTCTAGCCCATGCCATCAGTCTGAAGGAGCTCCACGAGTGCCTCCGAGAGCTTCGACCCGGCCACGTCCAGCCTCGGGTCCTGGATCTTCTCCCACAGCATGGCGTCCAGCCGCTGCCTGAGCCGGTTCACCAGGGCGGCGATACGCCCGACCGCCTCGAACCGGACCCACTCGTCCACCGCGATCCTCCCCAGCCCGGCCTGCACGGCCACCTGGCCGCCGAACAGCAGCAGCGCGTACGGCGACACCTCCGTGCAGTCGCGCACGAAGACCCTGCTCGTGTGCACCCGCTCGTGGTACACCAGCCACGGGCACGACCAGTCGTTCGTCCTGAAGTTTATCGACGAAGGGTGGATGAAGACGCGGTCGTCCTTGCCCGGGCCGGAGTCCGGCCCCCTCGAGCGCGTGAAGAACTGGAACTCCTTGGCCGTGTGCCGCACGGGGACGGCCCCGACGCCCACCAGGTCCACAAACTTCTCCATCGGCCGGCGGACCCGCATCACGCGCGGGTACAGCCCCGCGCACACGGCCGCCTTCACCGCGCGCCAGCTGCGGGCCTGCGCGTTCACGCTCGCCCGGGGGTCGAACGCCGCCCGCGAGCTCGCGATGAACCCGATCCCGGCCAGGGCCTGCGCGAGCTGCTTGCGCACCTCCCCCAGCTCCCGCATGCGCTCGAAGCTTATGCCGTTCTCCGCGCAGAACGCCTTCCTCGCCCTGTCCCCGCCACCCCACCGCCCGCCGCCGCCGCCGCCGCCCCCGCCCCCGCCGGCGTCCCCCGCGGCCTCCCATTCCGACACCGCAACGGCAAGCAGGGTGTGGTCGCTCCGACCCCCTCCGGCCGCCGCCATGCGCTTCTTGGCGGCGTCGATGGCCTCCCGCTTTTCGGGGTCCCCGGAGGAGAGGAAGGGGGACCGGCAGCTGAGACCGGCGGCGATCGAGAGCAGGGGGGACAGGCAGCCTAGAACGGCCCCGTAGATTAGCATCTTGCCCACCTGCACCGGGCAGGGCAGGGCCGCAAGGTGCCAGCCCAGGGGAGTGAGCTCCTGTGGGACAAGAGGGGTGGGGGAGGGGCGGACATGATAAGTAGTTGGGCACACGCGCCCAAAGAGCAGAGGGGGGATAGCTGGTGAGTGACAAGGGACTGCCTTCGGGGATGGTGGAAGGAAACGGGGCACGTGGCATCGGTTGATGGGAAAGGAGTTGGTAGAATAGGCAGTTTCAGGTACCACACGTACCAACGCCAAAGAAACCGTTTTGTGCCAGACCCTCAAACCGCAAAAAAAAAAAAAACCTAAGCGACCAAAAACAAGCGGACCATCGAATCTCCACTGCCAACAACCATCCGCAACCAATCCAAGCACGCCATATGCCAACCATCACCACCGCCGCCACGGTGCTCCCCCCCCCCCCCCCCCCCCCCCCCCCCCCCCCCCGATTCTTCTGCAAATAACTCACCGCCCCTTCGCCGAGCGCCTTGAGGTCCGTCAGCACGTCGACGGCGTCCTGCACTGCCTTCGGGTCCGGAGGGTCGAGCGCCCGGGCGAGCACGACCGAGGGGTGCTCCTCCACGCCCAGGGCCTTGATCTGCAGGACGAGGTGGTCGAGGGGCACCCTCTTGATCTCGGGCGTGCCGTGCGCGGGGAGCCTGGCGAACGTCTTCCTCCGGAGGAGCTTGAAGGAGACCCCCTCGCGGACCCGGCCGGCGCGCCCCTTCCGCTGCGTCAGCGAGTCCTGGCTCGCCCACGACTCCTGCAGCCGGGGCATCTGCCGCGCGACGTCGTACCCCATCTCCTTGACGCGGCAGCTGTCGACGACGACGGTGGCGTCTGGGATGGTGATGCTGGTCTCGGCGATGTTGGTGCTCACCACCACCTTGCGCTTCCCCCGCGGCGGGGGGTCGAACACGGCGCGCTGCCTCTGAGGGGGCAGGGACCCGTGGAGAGGCAGCACGCAAAGGCCCTGCCCCCCCTCCGTCGCGTGCTCGAGCTCGCGGCACAGCCGGTCGATCTCCATCGTCCCCGGCATGAACACCAGCACGGAGCCGGACACACCTCGATCACCACCGGCTTCCTCCCCCTCCCCGCCGCGAAGGCCCAGCTCGCGTTCGCCCTGTGGACTAACCGCGTACAGGACGAGCGATACCAGCAGCTCATAGTCGAGGTGGTCCTCGTCAACCCGGTCCATGTCCAACCCTCCCAGGGCCCCCCGCTCCCGCTCCCGCTGCGCCAGCTCCTCCTCGTCGTCGTCCTCCTCCTCCTCGAACTCCTGGAGCCAATGGCTGGGACCCTCGAGACCGCCAGGCCTCCCCGCCCCACCCCCGCTCCCTTCGTCAGGTTTCGCCGAAGCGGCGGCGGCGGCGGCGGCGGCGGCGGAATCGCCCCCTCCCCCCGTTGTTCCCGGGGTGGCGGCGGCCTGCTTCCTCTTAAGGCGCGGCCGGTGCCCCGTCGCCGCGATCGCGTCCTCCAGGTACAGGTCGCGGACCGGGAAGGTTCGTCCCGGGATGTGCAGCACCGGCGTTTTTCCCCCGGGGAGGCCCGACAAGCCCCCGAAGTAGGCGGCGAACCGGGCGGTGTCCAGCGTGGCGCTCATGAGAATGACCTTTAGCTTCGGTCTATGTTGGGTGGGCCGGGGGGCGCAACGCCAGCGCAAAATGAGACAGGGAATGCGTGGGCGATTTTGTTCACCGTGCGCAAGCATGTGCAACAGATGTCAACTTTGCCCACACATAAATTCGAGAGCAGCGGTTGGTTGCGATTGTACGGCGTGTGCATCGCTGACAAACAACAATAAAAAAGACGCTTGTACTGCTGCAGCCGGCCACCTATTCCCTCACCGCTTGGGGAGGATGCCGATCAGCAGCGCCAGCAAGAAGTCGGCGTCGAGGTGCCTCTCGTGCACCTCGTCCACCACCAGGTGGGTCAGCTCCTCCAGACGCGGGTCCCCCTGCATGCGGCGCAGCAGCAGGCCGGTGGTGCAGAACAGCAGTCGGGTGTCCGGGCCGGCCTTGCTCTCGCCCCTGATCTTGTACCCGACCCCTGCCCCGAGCCTCTCGCACCGCTCGTCCGCAACCCGCTGGGCCACCCCGACCGCCGCTATCCTCCGCGGTTGCGTCACGAGCACCCTCAGGTCGTCGGGTCCGTCGCCGGGGGCCCCCCCTTCCTCCCACTCCTCCAGCAAGAACTGGGGGATCTGGGTCGTCTTTCCGCACCCGGTCTCCCCCGAGACCAGAACCACCTGGCTCCGCCGCGCCAGCGACAAGAACTCCGCCTTGGCCTTCGCCGCCGGCAGCGCCGCCCGCTGCCGCCTTCTGCTCTCGAACTCCCTCGAAGCTTCGACCTTCTCCCTGCCGCGCTTCCGCTCTCCAGGGGGAAGGCCGCCGCCGCCGCCGCCGCTGCCTCTACCGCGTTGTTGCTGCTGGCGCGCTCCCCCTCGGCCTCCTCCCCACCCACCACCACCGCGATCTCTTCCCCCGCTCCGGCCATCCAACGACGACGCCCCGCCCGACCACAGCGGCTCCGTCCCGGGCAGGCGAGGCCGCACCGAGCGATCAACACCGCCCTCGCCGCCGCCCTTCGCGCAGTCACCCCCGCCGCCGCCGCCGCCGCCGCCGCCGGCCACGGACACGCCTGGACTGCCATACCCCACCGAGGCGCTTACCGCCGCCGCGGCGGCCGCCTCCTTCCTTCGGGCCGCCCGCCCCGTCGCGGGAACCGCGAGAATCGCCGGGAGCTCGTCGAGGGCCCACATCAAGATGTCGTAGACCGCGGGGTTCCCGATCAAGGACTTGGCGCGGCGGGCGAGAGCGATTTGGGCGGCGTGCAGGAGCCCCGCCGCCAGGAGGTCCGGCCCGCGCACCAGCGCCACCGCGGGGGCCTCGGAGGGGTAGCCGCCCAAGCCTCCCGCCTGGGGGATCCACACGTCTAGCCAGGCCTTGGTCGGTAGGGAGGCTAGGTTGGTCAGATCGAACGAGAGAAGATATGCCCCCTGTTGTTGTTGTTGTTGTTGTTGTTGTGGTGATGTCGATTTTGATGGCGATGTTGATGTTGACGTTGACGTTTGCGTATCATTCGACGTCCCATCGTAGACGGGCGATAAAACAGAGAAAAAAAGGGTGGGACGCGGGGGAAACGGGACATCAGGGTCGCCGCGAGAGGGCGGGGCCATTGTACGATCTCTCGAAACCTGTGGACGACGAAGACATTCAGATTTATCCCGACCAATCCCGAGCGACAAGCGGATGGATCCACGACCTCAACGATAGCTGTCTCAGGTACATAACCAAGCCAGGACATGTTCTGTAGCCGCAGGTCTCCTTCCTCCCCGCAACACTTCATTCAGGCCACGGACACGCTGCTAAGCAGTCACAAAATTGACCCGGTAGCACCTCAGGCATGTTCGGAGCGACCGCTACCGCCCCATCGTAGATAGCCTCCAGGGACATGACCTCCTCGTCCACCGCCTCCCGCCCCTCTTCCTCCGTCATTATTTCCGCATCCAAGCCCGCCGCCCCGCCGCCGCCGCCGCCCTGCTTCCTGGCCGACGCGGGCACCAAGCCGCCGGCGAGAATCTTCAGCGGGCGCAACAAGCGCGCGTCCAAGCTATCATTGCCGTTCTCCTCCTCCTCCTCCTCCTCCTCCTCCTCCTCCTCTGTGCTTGCACCCGCAATAGCCGCCGCGACCTCCGCATGACCAAACCCGTACTGCAACAGCTTGCCTTCCACGGAATCTCCTGCCGCGATCTCCCCGCCACATCCTGATCCCGCTTCTTCCTCAGCTGCTGCTGCTGCTGCTCCTGCCCCACCACCACCGCTAACACTACTACTAGAGGTCCCGAAGTCTTGTCCGGGACGAATCACGTCCAGGTTTCTCCCGCGCGGATCGAAGCCCTTCGGGAGCTCCGCCTCCTCGAGGTGGAGGCACAGCCACTCCAGGAGGGCATCGGCCCGCTGCCCGAGCGTTTCGCCCTCCGTCCCTGGGCACGCGTCTACAGCTCTGGTGGGACAGTCGACAGCAGACGTTGGCGGGGGGGGGGGGGGGGGGGGGGGGGGGGGGGGAGGGGAGAGGTCGGTTAGTTGGAGGAAGGGAGTTCACGCACTGATACATGGAGGAATGTTGTTCAGGTAGGCACACCCGCCACGACTGACGACAGGTTTTGTTTGCAGCGTGGTACTGAACGATCGCCCCCTCGCCCCCCGCGCCTCCCGAAACTGAACCCTCACAAAACAGCAACAAAAATGCTTCATCATCATCATCATCATCAGCAGCAGGAGTATCACCGGCGAAAAAGGGCTGAGCTGCCGTTGCACCGCACGCCCCCTACCGCCGTTCAACACGAAATATCCCAAACAAACATCGCGAGGACAAAGTACCTTCCGCTCCATCACAACACCTAGTAGTACGTACACCCGTACATTCGCACATCGGTCTTGAGAGCAAACACAAGCCCTGGACCCATTCCAGGGCTCTCTTGACCCACCCACACCACCCTCCACCCGGAGAACACCCGTACCTGTCTCCCCCTCCCCAAAAAAAAACAAAACGCAGAAAACGCCGAACTTATGCATAGCACGTCATCCCCCCGCGCGGCCGGTTTCCAAAACCCTTCCCACCGCCCTTACAACTGAACAAAAATGACTTGAAGAAAAACGCCTCTCACCGCAGCACATCATCCGCCGGGAAACCCATCCCTTGGACCTTTTCCAGGGCCGCCCGATCCGTCCCCTCGAGTCCGTCCAGAGTCAGGCCGTGGTGCTCCGCGCCGCCGTCTCGCTGCCGCTCTCGCTCCTCCGTCAGACCCAGCGCCTCCTCGAGGATTTTTCTGAGCCGGGCGCTCATCATCACCTTTGTTGTTGTCGTGGTTGTTCCGAAGTAGAAGCAAGAGGAGAGGGTGAAGAGAGATGGGGGGGGGGGGGGGTGTACTCATAGTCGTGCATGCCGTAGTCGTTAGACCATGGACCTCGCATCCCTACAAAGGCCGGGACGGAGCACGCCGGGTTCTCACCGGACCAGGCTCTCACATCACCAAGCGCGAAGCGCCGTGAGATATTCGGCGAGTCGCATGAAGGGTGCGCTGCATCCTGCTAAGGG